CTCACTCACACACACACACACACACTCACACACACACACACACAGATAATATTACAGCCTCCAGCTTTCCTCGGACTGAAGATCAGAGTTCACACATAAACAGACTCACATCAAAGACGACGGAGCTGCTCCACTGCTGCTGGTCTTCTTATCGAGTCTGCTAAAAACATGAAAAAATACAAATCAACAACCAAACAGAGCTGTAGAACAATGGAATTCAAAACATGAAACTGAAACACTCTTTCAGTGAGATCATATGTGACCCTGGAGCACAAAACCAGTCATAAGGTCAATTTTTGTAAATTGAGATTTATACATCATCTGAAAGCTGAATAAATAAATATAAAAATAAATCTTTCCATTGATGTATGGTTTGTTAGGATAGGACAATATTTGGCTGAGATACAACTATTTGAAAATCTGGAATCTGAGGGTGCAAAAAAATCTAAATATTGAGAAAATCATCTTTAAAGTTGTTCAAATGAAGTTCTTAGCAATGCATATTACTAATCAAAAAATAAGTTTTGATATATTTACGGTAGGAGATTTACAAAATATCTTCATGGAACATGATCTTTACTTAATATCCTAATGATTTTTGGCATAAAAGAAAAATGTATAATTTTGACCCATACAATGTATTGTTGGCTATTGCTACAAATATACCCCAGCGACTTAACACTGCTTTTGTGCTGCAGGGTCACATATGAGAAGTTTAGTTGTCAATGTAAATGTATACATGTTTTTAAATGACTGAAATATTAACTTTAAATCTCACTTCAAATAAATATTTAAGCTCAGAAGGGTTCAGCTGACAAATCTCTGAATAAGTGTTATTTTAGTATCACTGAGAAACTATTAGTTTTTATTAATATTTTGAATCAGTTTTTGTTTTTGCATTTTCTGTCTAATTTGTCTAATAACTGTCTAATAATGTTTTTGTCATTTTTAGTATTTTTTTAGTGCTGTCAAACTATTAATGGGGATTAATCGCATCGAAAATAAAAGTTTGTTTACATAATATATGTGTGAGTACTGTGTATATTTATGATAACACAAACATAAATGTATATATTTAAGAAAAATATGTTTTGTTTATATAAAAAATAAATATATTTTTTAATATATTGTAATATATTATATATAATAAATTATATTTGTATATATACAAATATAAAAAAATATATACATGCATGTTTGTGTATTTATATGTACATAATAAATATACACAGTACTCACACATTTATTTTCGATGTGATTAATCTAAATCTATAAAAAAAAAAATTTGTGGAAGGATGAATTAAGGCTTTTTGTGACTTGCAGAAACCCATGTGTTATGTGATGCAACTTTTCCAAACAAATAGTAATAAAAAAAACATGAAATTAATGTTTACAGCACTGTTATTTTATTTTTAACTTCACACTTGTTGTGCCGCACACATTTGACCTTCATTACTGGAACGTCTGTATTGATTCTGACAAACTCAGACATGAGCCATAAAAGTATAAAATATAATTTAATGACAGGAAATATGTACATAACATTTCAGTCATGAAGACACAATATTTGCTCAATATCGTCATGTCAGTGATTTCTCTTCAGGCTGTTGATCAGCTGATGCTCTGCACCAGTTTCAGAAGAGCTTCTCTCTCATGGTTCTCCTGCAGGAGTCTGAGCACCTCCTCCAGAGCCTCGCTCCCGCTCATGAACTCCTGTCTCACACACACACCACACACACACACACGCACACACACACACACACACAGATACACAGACACAGACAGATACAGATACAGATACACACACACACACACACCACACACACAGATACAGATACACAGATACACAGACACACACCACACACACAGATACACAGACACACACACACACACACACCACACACACACAGACACAGATAGACACAGACACAGATACAGACACACACAGTATTAATGGATCCAAATGTAACTGAACAACTGTGTTTCCAAACAAGACTCAGATGCGCCCCCTGTCCCGAGCGTTACCTTGATGTCACGCGTCACATAGCCGATCCTGTGGTCTGTCACACGATCTTGACTGAAGTTATACGTGCGAATTCTCTCCGACTGAGATCGAGTGCCGACCTGAGAGACAAACACATTTACAATGTAATAAAGCCTGTTCATGTTATTAAACGTCATTATAAAGTGTTTAAAGTCACTGCAGTAAAGGGTCGTTTGTAGTATTTGGTTTGATCTGACAGGTAACTCACCTGTTGTCTGCGTGCGGCGTGCGTCTGCGCTGTCTGCCGTCCCATGATGCTCTGGTACAGTCGGGCTCGGAGCACACGCAGCGCTGTGTCACGGTTCTGCAGCTGAGAGCGAAACTGCTGGCATTCAGCTACTGTTCCTGAAAACAAGAGAGAGTCCAGATCACACGATAATCCAGACCAAAACAAGAACAAGACCAGGCAGCACTCGTCAAATTCATCTGAAAGAGACACATTTAGACATGCACTGATAAAATAATAAAAATAAAAAGTACACTATAATTACCACTGCGTAAATATTATTATATGATTACTGTATTATATATATATAAACATTTTAATATAGAAGTATTATGGAAAAATAAAATGTTACTTTTAAATATGAAAGTAAAAGCATCAGTGGGTAGTGGAAAAATCACTTAATGAGTGAGTCATGGAATCATTTGATTCGTTTGGTAACAAAACACAGCTGTTCATCTGTGGATTGGTTTGGAATTATTTTCACTGGCGAAATAGTAAGTTGTTAAGTTATTATTAACTACTTGTTTTTAAAAAAATCACTATCGCGTTTGCAGTCGTGCTCATATTCATTAAAACAGCTCCCTTGCTCTGTGATATTGCTTAATTATAGCATATGTTATAATAATAAAAAAAACTTATACACACTTTTTTTGCATTAATATCTTTCATTTTGCATTCATTTTGCTGACATTTTTGACACAATGCCCTATTAATTTCTGACCCGGCAAACAGTAACAAAAGAAATCAGATTAGAAATAAGCTACTGATTGAATTTGAAGTGGGAAGTTTAATTCTAAACACATTAATGATGTTAACAAATAAATCAGTCCAACAGGAATTGTGTGCGCTCAAAAAGAACAATGAATTCTCAGGTGCGTAGAGCAAAAGGGAGAAAGTTTTAGTCCAACAAGTCGCTGAATTTGTCCACACACTGAAACATTTTTTTTTTCCAATCAGACCAAAAAAGGTCTCTCAAAAATGTGGTTTTTATTATCCATATGCAAAAGTGAAAAAAGTGATAAAAGTGCAAAGTGTATTAAAAACAGACCAAAGAGCAGACGTTTCAGCCCATGCTTTCTTCAGTGCTCATGAAGGCGGCAAACGATACACTATGCACTTTTATCACTTTTGCATATGTATAATAAAAACCACATTTTTGAGAGACCTTTTTTGGTCTGATTGGAAAAAAAAATTTCAGTGTGCGGACAAATTCAGCGACTTGTTGAACAAATCAATCAGACGATGCACTGACAATGTCTCAACTGTCATCTTGACCTGTGGCAGTGCACTCGCTCAGACG